GGGGGGAGGAGCAGGAATGACGACGTGAGCTCTGTGGGTAAGTAGAAGGGGTAGGAGGCGCAGGGAGGTCATGGGACAGATTAAGTGATGTAATATCAACAAGAGCAGAGCAAAACGCAATAGAAGCGCAGGAGCCAAGCTCACTCTGTATGTTGATCGAACTTGCTGGCTCACGTTGTGATGAGATCACAGGCAGGTCAAGAAGCAGGAGAGAAAAAGACAGATGGAAGATGAAGCAATGGAGGAAATAAGAATTGTTGGTCCGCAAATCATAGACCTAGATCAAGCTACTGGTAGATTTAATCCAGTGGGCCCTGACTTGATACTCCGGGTCAGGCCACAGTGGTGTTACATTAAACGTCGTAATTAGCCAGCATGAACCTGTCCATTTGCCAAAAAAAAAAAAAAAAAAAAAAAAAAAAACATGTCCATTTGCGGATGATTTGCCAAATAGGAACTTGGCGCCTGTGGTGTGTGGTGTGTTGTTGATTGGTTGGAGTAGCATAGGAAGCAGAGACCTGCGAGCGGAGGTGGATGTCGAAGCCATCGAGGTTTCGACCGGTTTTTGTGTGTGCTGGGAGTGACGGGTTGATTTCATCCAAATGCCATCCAAATGCCACAGAGGATAGGACCCTGCAACCAGTGAGACAGAGCTGCACTGTATAAGTAGTGGGTTGAGCTTTCTGGTGCGAAAGTTATGGGTACATGTTCCCGAAAAAGGTTTAAATGTTTATAGGGTTTTCACAAACTCGGAGAATCTTAAAGTTTCAAGTTTACTGGTTTGGAGAAAGATATAGGCCATAGCCACACCACTCTCGAAGTGTGCAAAATGAGAATGAACTTTCTGCTTGAGCACGACCAGATGCACCCGCCACGGTTTTGTCTTTTGCACATTTTGAGAGTGGTGTGGCGAGGGCCATAATCTTCGTTGATCCGGTTTATAGCACGGATCTCTTACGGATAGGAGATGACCTGTTGGGAAGTACAAGATGGGTATGAAGGACTTGGAAGTGGCTTACAGAGATTGTCTGCCGCCCTGATCTCGTGTGATCTCACTGGTTTGGTTGCGCTCTGCATACTGGAATTGCCCCAACCACTACAAAATTCCTATTGTCCCTACTATCTTTCCATCGCTGCAAAAGATTTGACGCTAGATCCCAGGGACTGGTATTGGGATAATCCTTGGAGGCAGGGTGAAATTGTTCCTCTCCCCAGGCACACATCACGATTGGCCTATTTCTACTTGCTCCCGCCTGTAGATATTGATTGGGACATGGCTACTAAATGGAGGCACCTTGGGCACACAATTCCTACGGAAAGATTGAAGCCATTCTGGAACTTGCTCTCCACTCTCACCCTTGTCAAGCATGCAGGGCTGATAATAATATGGCTTATTGTCCATAATGCAGTCCCGACGGCTGCTATGCTATGCTAGCGTAGAAAACAACGCTCCCCTTTCTGCACTGCCTACTCTTCTGCACACTGCATATGGTTGAAGACTTGAAACACATGTGTATCACATGTGCCAATGCCCGAGTGGTTTGAAATCAATGGAAACAAGCGGAAGTCATTCCTGATGACTGCGGAGATCTTTGGTGTGAAGCTCCTGTCTTGCTGGGTAGTAGGTACCATTCTTGTTCACCTTTCCAAGCCTTGGGCTTATGTTTTTGAAACTTCAAGAGAGCCATAGTACTTTGGCATATATGGAAACACAGAAATGAGGTTGTGCGGACGGTGATCCTTTCTCTCTTCAAGTGGTACTTTATTGTGTCAAACCGACTCAAACGGGACATCAGGCATGCCATACTTCTGGATTGGAGGAGATGCATCAACTCGCCTGCAGGGCCTCGAGTGGGATTTCAATGGTTTATGCTGCGATGGGCAGCGTGCCCGTCGCTGGCAACGATTGATGGATGTACTGGTGACATTACCTTCGGCCGGTTTCTTCACGACACAACATCGTCAAACTGTTGTTATCACAGTAATTTTTTTTCAGGGTATTATTAGTCTAGTTTAGTAGTTTTTGCTTTTTTTTTTGTTTATGACATTAAACTCCCTAGGTTTCTTGATCTATTTTCTACAGGGGAGGGGCTCCACCTCCGAAGTGTGGATGGAGACCTTGCGACCCCTGAATCTTGAACTTGTTTATTGTTCTGTATCCTGGCCTTGGGCACTGGGCCCTTTTACAAAAAAGAGACATGGATTGAAAAAAAAAAAAGAAAAAAAAAAGGAAGATGCGCAAGGGCCCAAGAAATTTCGGGGCAGAATATGGTGGGGTCCTTGGTTTTGACAAAAGTTGTTTCTGCTGAGCAGAAAAAAAAAAAAAAAAAAAAAAAAAAAAAAAAAAAAAAAAAAAAAAAAAAAAAAAAAAAAAAAAAAACAGCATGGTTGGGGTGGGGGGCAACAGGGAGACAGACATAAATTCTTTGGATTTCGTAGGCTGTCGTAGGATCCCTGTGTCCGACATTATGAGGAGGATTTGTTTCGTTTCTCACGGATTTTCGTTTGTCTTTTTTTGGATTTCGTAGGCTGTCGTAGGATTCCTGTGTCCGGCATTATGAGGAGAAAGTTTCTCGATATGGTACGCCTGAGTTTGATCGCCTGGGATTTCGTGTGGAGAACCAGGCATGCGGTGTCTGAGATAGTGAAAAAACAATGGAGTAGAATTTTTACTCTGGGATACGAGTGCTCTTCTGGGTAGTTTTTTTGTAGTGGCGATATCAGAGGTAACTCGACTACAAGTAGGCTAGTAAGTAAACCTTTCTACATCTCGAAACGCCGCCTGATGAGGTCGCTACTGGCGGCGACCGAAACTAGTTGGGGATGTCAGCGCCTCGGGCATTATGACTGAGGTGCCATAGCGAAAGCTATGGGATGTGCTTCATTGTTATTTATCGGATATTTCGAGATCTTTTCACATGCTTCAGCTGCAATTTGCGGCTATGTGTTGGGCTATGCGTCAGTATTAACTGACTCGGCTATTTCTAATACTGAAGAACAAGCAATGGCAACCTGCCGGGACGTTGCCCGCACGCTGTTGGCCCTGCAGTCTAGCTTTAGCTGTGCTTCGGTGAACCATACGAGAGATTGGCAACGTTTACTCAAGTGAAGAAGGTGGGTTTCACACCAGCGATACTATCATCAGCTGCGGGTGATTAACATGGCAAGTGGAGGGGAGACTGGGAACGGCGGCAATAATGGTGTAGGAAACTGGAACGCTGGATGTACTAACGGCGGTGGAGGTAATGGAGGGATCTGGAATGGAGGTAACAATGGGGGAGTTGGAGGAAACGGCGGGAATTCAAATGGAGGAAACAATGGCGGATGGAACAATGGTAACGGCTGGGGGAATGGTAACGGTGGACACGCGGGAGGAGGAAACTGGGGAGGAGGTAACAAAGGAGGATTTGGGGGAGGAAGTAACGGGAACTGGGGAGGTGGCAATGACGGGAACTGGTGTAACGGAAACGGTAACAACTGGAACAACGGCGGATGCGGTAACGGTGGTAACAATGGCGCAAACGGAGGGGATTGGAGGAGATCAGCGCAGTGTTACAACTGCAACCAGTACGGCCATATTGCGCGCGAATGTAACACACCGCGGCAGCAGAACGGAGGGGGGAATTGGAATGGAAACAGTGGTGGTGGGAGTTGGAATGGGAACTGTGGTGGCAACATTCACGTAAACGGAGGAAACAGCGAAGGAGGACGGCAAGGTTTTGATGGTGCAAGCAGCTCGTCTTCTACTGGCCCAGCGAATGCTATCGGAATTAGCGCTGATTTGCAAGAATCATTCAAGGCGGTAGCTCTGTTTTCACAACGACAAATCGAGATGGAGGAGAGACGGGAGACGGAGAAAAGAGAAGCCGAGGAAAGAAGAAAATGGCAAGATGAAGAGCGAAGTGCGAGAGAAGAGAATAATCGTTTAGAGTTGGAGAGGAAGAAAGCCAAAGAGAAGGAGGAGGCTGATCGTGAGTGGACGCTGCAAATTCTGTTAGCTAAGCAAAAGAAGGTGTTAAGAGAGGAATTTGAGAAGATGTTCGAGAAAAAGTTGAAGAAAGTAGTAGTGTCAGAAAAGGCAGTGAAAGGAAAAGCACCGGTTTCATCAAGCTCAGAGGGCGAAGAAGACGAAGAAGATCCGCCTGAGGAACGCCTGGACAAGCGCAAGAGACAACCAGCGGTCGTCAGACAAGCCAGCCCGCCGGGAGAATCGCCTGCAAAAGTGGGTAGACCATCCACTTCGGCACCGCCGTCTACCCCGTTACCAGGGGAGTCTCCTCGTCTGAGAGGTCCCCAATGGCAAGTCCGAAGGGATGACTCCCAGCTAGGATATCCCTATCAAGAATCTAGCTTGTGGGAGGGGGCGCCTGTCTCCGACGACTACCGTTCGATTAATGCGTTCCGTAATGCCGTCTGGAAATTTCTGAGCAAGAAGCTAGTTGCGACTATCCAGGAGAAGTGCAGGGAAGCAGGGCTGGTTTATAGAGGGCGGCCGGATGCGGTTGACGAATTAATCGAGTTAAGAGTTATTTACTTTAGTACTGAGCAAAACTGACAGCCACCAAGCGTCACAACTCCAATCCAAAGGCAGCGCGGTGGAGGTATTGTCATCAGGGATTTACACGAAACTCAACGAGTGACACAAGGGCCACCAACGCCGGATGAGGAAATGATCCCATGGAGTTCTGACTAGCAAGGAGATCTATGGGAGGAGTTGAGGCATTTCGTCAAGCTTCGGAAGACACTGATTAGCAAGGCTGCAGTAGGGATTAAGCGAGTGCGACTGGTTCTGGAGAACGTGCCCAGGCTTTTGTTAGTATTATTAGTGCTGAACGGCGAAGTGCAGTGGGGATGCAAGTACTTGGTAATTGGTTGGATTTGATCGAGGAGAAGGGGAAGGAATGGGAAAATCCGGAAGCTTGCATTTACGTCCTAATCAACCCAGGTGTGAGAGTGACGTACATAGGTCAGACCAGCCGAAGCCTCCAGGCAAGATGGAGTGAACACACCTATAGGTCGCAACATGGGGAAGGAACGAGGAATTTGAAACTGTATGCATTGGCTGCTATGAAACCGTTTGAGCGCGTTTAAGCGCGAGCGCGCGCGCTTAAAGACCCCTAGTGCTCGCTTAAAAGTGCTCAATCGGTTTTCGGGCGCGCTCGCACACCAAAACATGAGGGCGCACACCTGGTGGGGGCCCAGATGTGGAGGGGAACACATTGGGGTGTTTGCACTGAAAAAAAAAAATTGGGGGGGCGGGGGGGGTTTTGGGGGGGTTGGGTGGGCAGTGGAGGGGGTCCAAGGGTTCTTTTGGGGATTTGGTGGCGGAGGTGGGGAGGGCTTGGGACTTGGGTGGGGGAGGTGGTGGCTCTCTCTCTCTCTCTGTCTCTCTCTCTCTCTCTCTCTCTCTATATATATATATATATGGCGAGCCTTGCACGTGAGAGGCACAGTGGAGGTGGAGTTCAAAGAAGAATGAGAAATTTAATGGTTTCAATCTGCCCTTGTTTTTTCTTTTTVTTTTTATTTTTGCATGTTATCACTGTGCCCGTTTTTTGCTTTTATTCTTTGTTCCGCAAAGTGCGCTCTTTTAGTTTGTAGTGATGTGACAATATATATATGTGTGTGTGTGTGTGTGTGTGTGTGTGTGCGTGTGTGTGCGTGTGTGCATGTGTGTGTGTGTGTTGGGTTTGATGTTTTGGGTTTGGGGGTGTGGCTTTTTTTTCTCAGTTTTATGTTTTTCATTTTCAAAAAATACATATGAGATTAAAAAAAGAAAAGAAAAACATGGGCTCATAGATCTCCGAAAGATCTACAAGCCTCTATTTTTTATTTTATTTTTTGGTTATTGTTTGTCTGCAAAAACATCCCTGTGAAACAAAAAGAAAAACCCACCCATTTCATTATGTTTTTTTTGTTTTTTTTCTTTCTTGTATGTTTTTGATTTTTTTTTAATTATAGCAAATCTTCAAAAAATAAAATAAAAATCATAGGGTTGTGGATCTCAAATTTTGTTTTTTTTTGCTTATTATTTTCCAGCGAAAAAAATATTCCCGCGCCCACTCAAACCGCGCTCAAGCGCTTTTGAGCGCGGGATTGAGCGGAGCTCAGAAATTTGAGCTCCGACCCCGCGCTCAATCAGCGCGCGGTAACACAGTATGGCTGGCTCAGACATCATGGATCATCTAATTACATAGCTCTTCCAATCGCTTTTCCTCCAAAGAACGATTTGGAAAGAGTGGAGAAAGTGTTTATTGAGAAATGATGTCCAAGCCTGAATGGGAAAGGAAGGCGGAAGAAAAAGGGAAAAGGGAAGCGGAAAGGTAGGAAAGAGAGAAAAAAGTCAAGAAAGTACCGAGTCAAGAGCGAGAGACAACGAACGGTCGGTGAATCTGATTGAGACATGCAGGAAAGCATGGGAGGAAAAGAAACCGTTTAGATCCGAGGGTGGGAAGCTATGGATCTAGAAATGGGAGCAAATTGTTAAGGAGATTGGTCAAACAGTGGTTATTTTGGAAGGCGAAGAGAAACCAATCAATAAGTTAAAATCGAGGTTGGAGATTGGGGGAGTCGTCACGGTAGTGAGATGGCAGGGAAGAACATTAACGAAGGCGAATGCCGAGCGTAAACGCGAACTGTATCAAATTATCCGGAACACCTGGTATAAAAAGAAACTGTATAGTTATAGCATTGATAAACTCATGCAGTTAGTAAAGGCAATGGATCTGTTCTCGAGGCAAGCAACACGGAAAAACCTGAAGGATACGTTGGCAGGGGTCGTATAGAAGAAATTCCGGATTAGCATTAGAAAGAAAGTATGCGCTAGCGTGACTTACGATCCTAAACTATCTTTAAGGAAACTAAGGGATGTAGTATCGAGGAAGATTTGGGAGGAACTACCTCAATTTCTTGCTGATTACACGTGTCAGAGACTCTTGATGGTTTGGAAAAGAAACCAAACTGTTGGGGAGATACAGTTTTTTCCATAACCATGGAACTTCCTCGCAGCAGTTCGTGGAAGTCTGCTCATGTGCAGGCAGCGCTCTCCCACGAAAGGAGGGTCACGTGCAATGTAAGCTTAGGGAGGTACAAGGGATATGTAATTTTGTGTTGAATGTGCGTAACGTCGTTTACAAAGATGAGGACAGTAAGAAGGAGAAGGCTATGAGAGAGGTGAACGACAGTCTAGTAATATTCGGACTGCGGTCGACGGTAAGTACGCATGAGATGAGTAACTGTATGAATGGAAGGATAGTAACACGAAGTGACTATCTGGACAAGGTACGGGAAGTTAAAAAAATCTGTCAAGGTTTGGTGTGCTGTGTGGTCGACAGAAGCACAACAGACACAGTGGTAATGTGTCCTGCTTTGTATGCGAAGGGTATGAAAGACTCTGAGGTGTTCTGGGGAAACGAGAGCTTTGCAGCGGTATCAGGAAAGGAAGCCGAAGTACTGGTGCGCTGTGAAACAGAGTATTAACAAGAGGGTTTAGAAAGGTTGGGAAGATGGGATGGGAAAGGACTGGTAGGAAGAGCCTACATTATACCAAAGAACAAGGATATATGTAGGTTCCGTTCAATCAGCCCATCATTTAATGAACCATCAAAGATGGCAAGAAGAAGGGTGGCTAGGGCGCTAAACCATTTGTTGTTTTTATTATCGAAATCAACGCATTTTAACTTGAAATTGACGGGACTACTAAAAGATAAAGTGAAGGAGGCGAATAAGTGGGTAGCAACTAAAGGGAGAGGCCTCTTAGGAGGAGCAACCTTTGATATTAAGGAAATGTTTAGTCAACTTTCGCACGACTCTATTGTAATGGCGGTCGACTAGTTGATAAACTAGTACAGATCAAAAGGGAAAGCAGGGGTAAACATTCGGAGAAGGGGAAAGGGTGATGCGTTTGCAAAAAAGACGGGTAACGAATTCTGGATGGAAATTAGTTTCGAGGAAATTAGAAAGATGGTGATTTTTTAGCTAAGGAATACTTACGTAGTCGCATGCGGTAGGCTCATCCAGCAGCGGGTCGGAATCCCAATGGGGAAGAGTAGCAGCCCTCCGCTGGCCTGTATCCTGTGTGCAACAAACGAGTGCTCCTTATCAAGCCTCGGCACTGATAGATCCCTGGTGAAAGGATGGGGACTGATTGATGACGTCACCCTCCTAATCTGGTGCCCGAAGAGGATCGACTCCACACGATGGGAACGAGTGATGAGGAAGTTTGAGGAGAATTACGACAAGAAGCTAGTTCTGAAACGACTGGACGAGGGCCAAGGGACATGGGATTTCTTGGGCACGAGGGTGGAAATCCAAGACAACCAGGTGTCATGTCAAAGCTTTCCTAAGAATTTCAAACAGGTCTGGAGTCGGGAGAAGGTTTTCTTTTACCGTACTTTTCAGGACTTCGGATCGTTTTCGACTCAGAGACAAAAGAAGGCTGTTGTGATCAGCGCCTTGCACAAAATTCGGGCGATGACATCGTCTGATGAACTAGCAGACCTGGGATTGTTGACAGTGAAAAGACAGCTGCGTCTACAGAACTACCCACCTTGGATCTTCAACGAATGCTTGAGAAAATTCACCAACAAGCATGCGCCGGGGTGGGAAGAATGGAATAGAAGCCTTGGAGGATGGTAAGACGAAGGGATGATCTTTTGTTGTTTATAACTACGATAAGAGAAGAAAAGCTACTGGGGTATGGTCACTTTGGTTGAAGGGCCCGAATGGGATATAACGGCAATGGGGTAGGGATGCAAGGAATAAAGGGTGGAACATGCACGTTTATGAAGGTTGGCCGAAATACGATCGTAGGACAGATATGGTAGAAGTGAGGTTCTGAAGTTTTGATTGTCGTATTAACCTTTGTCGTTTATTGGTCTGAGTTTTTGGTTTGTTTGTTTTGTTTCGCCTAGGACTGGACTCGGGTAGATCGAATAAGGATTTGTTTTTTTTCTCATGTATTTTCAGTTGTCGTTTCTTTGGATTTCATAGGCTGTTGTAGGATTCCTGGGTCCGACATTATGAGGAGGATTTGTTCCGTTTCTCACGAATTTTCGTTTGTTTTTTTTTGGATGTCGTAGGCTGTCGTGGGATTCTTGTGTCCGACATTATGAGGAGAAAGTTTCTCGATATGGTACGTCCGAGTTTGATCTTCTGGAATTTCGTGTGGAGAACCAGGCATGCGGTAGCTGAGATAGTGAAAAAACAAGTGGTGTTCTCCGCGACATGAGAGTTCGTGGGAGCTGGTCGAGGGTTAAACGTTTTCGGTAACTTACGTCTGTTTTTCGCTAGGTAGCAAATCCGGATATCCAGCAGGCCATTTTATCCGGAATTTCCCATCCGGATGAAAATTCCGGATTAATTCCGGATATGGAAAAATCCGGCTCTGCGCAAAATATTTTTTTTTACCAAAAAAACATAATTCAAAAAAATCTGGAAAAAAAGTATGTTGTTCACATCGATGATACGAACAACTTTTGGCTTGAGGCCATCATTGATATCTCAACAGATAAAAAGATAAAAATATAAAACAGAAAAAGAAAATAATATTTGGATAAAAAATTATAAAACGAATTAAGCATCCCCCCTCTAAACCCCTTTATTCCCTATCTTACCCCTTTGAACCCTTCCATGACTTAT